CCGGCCGTTAACTCCAAATAAACCACCAGTGTTTGACATCAAAGCTACTGCTCCTACCGTGTCTCCTTCCTGAGTCGGTGACTCCCACTGCATTGCCTACACAGAAGTTTCCTCTACACCCATCAGTAGGCCTCCTTCAAACCGAGAGGGAAAATAATGTGGCCAGGAGGGTGCAGCATCCAGAAAAAAGGCCAAACCAATGCCAGCCCCCCTAACAGTGAAAGGGAGAGGAAGAGGAAGAGGAAAAGGGAAAAAAACATCTCTGACCCCAGAAGAGCCAGGAGCTGTTGGTGCCAGATACTGCCCAACAACTACCACACTTTTGCCCTAAAAGAGCCCCTGGAGTCCAAGGTTTTGTTGGTTTGGAGTATACTCCTGCACAAATATTTAGACATTTTTTTAACAACCAAGCTGTAAATATCATCTGCAAGAACACAAACAAAAATGCTGAAAAGGAGCAGGCTAAGGGGGAAAAGTTTGTTTGGGAAAGCCGGTAAAATTCCTCATGTCTGTCGGCCTTATGATGTTCATGGCACTTCTAAAACTGCCAAAAGTAAGAGACTATTGGAGGAAGGGATCACACCTAAGTGTTCTCTTTCCTGCTTCTGTCATGACAAGAGACAGGTTCATGGCAATCAGCAGAGCTGTACACCTGAGCGACCCAGACCATGATGAATCTTGATACATTTCCTTTGCTCTTTATATATTTTTCTAATATTTTGTTTATAGTTTGAAGATCATTTGCTCTTTGTACATTTGCACTTTCTATATATTCCTAATACTTTGTTTATAGTTTTAATATAATTTGCACTTTGTTAATTTGCACTTTGAATTTGTTTCACTGTTTGTGTTTGTATTTCAATGTTCAAATGATAATATATTTCTCTGAAACAAGTTATTTTTGTTGCAATGTCATCTGTTATGGTTGAATTTTTTACTCTCAACCTTTTTTTGACAGAAGAAACATGATCAGTCATTTAAATATGGAAATACATTTCGTTTTAATTATTCCATATTATCCTAGGTGTTTTTCAGTACAAAACGCCTAGGATAATATGGAATAAATAGCTGTAACTTGCTCAGAGAACATAATATGCAGATGACATTTCATTTGAAAGCCTAAAACATCTAAATGCAGATTTGTAAATAATAAAAAAGAAAATTCCTATGTTCCTGGCGGAGTAAACAGTAAAAAAAACACAACATTTGTACTGGCGTTTTTGAAAAGTGCTGGTAAATTCAGCCATTATCACACAAGGTTATGGTAAAATTTGGACTTTAAATTAGCCAGACTTGAACTAGAGGTTCTCCTGAATCAAATGAGGTAAGGCACTTGATGCTGACTGCTAGAAAAGGTTAGAACAGGTTAGGAGAAACAAATAAATACAGGAGAGTCAAGCAGTCAAAAATTCCGTCTAGGTCTTTAAGGGTTAATGTCCTTCCTGTACTGATGTCCTTGTATCAAGTGTCACATCAATGTTTGTAGTCTAAAGCCTTACTCACACATGTGTTGTCAAACTGGTCAGTGGAAAGTTGTGACATGCATCAGGAAGGACAAATCAAAATGCCATGTTGATCTTTATTATAATGGAGAGTTGGCAATGAATGGAAATCACCAACAAGACATGCTTTATAAAAAAAACTGTATATTGAAGCATGTCAGATGATCTAATTTATTTTTGAAATATATGGGAAGCCACTGAGTAAATATTATCTCTCTATTTCAGGAACTACATTTTAGGCTTCAATATATCACAAAGGTTTATGGGTTATGTTTTTGTCAGGTATACAGTACCTGCAGTTGGAGTTGCTTTAGAAACATTCAGAGCCAGCACCTTCAAACGGCTGTGTATCTAATTATAGATAACAGTTTTTACTTTTGCAGAAATACTTTTTTTCCGCTTGGGTTTTTGTTGCTGGGTGACCTTGAAACCTAAACCAAAGTCTCTTGCATGCACCGTTTACCTTGGTAATACAAACGTAACAACATTGGACCGAGCGATGAGTCCCAGGAGACATCAGCGCATGTGAGTATTATGCAGAAACACACTTTTACATATCCACAATGGGCCAAATAATATTGAAGATAGATAAAACCAACATCAGTGTCAAGCATTTCTTATTTTCAATAAAGGTGGGTTAGGTTGTAGATTGTTGAAGTCTAATCCATGTTATGAAGGGGCAAAGTCCAGCACAGGATAGGGAAGGTTACACCCTAACCCACGTTGGAACCCACTGAACCACAACAAAGTAGTGGTAAAAACAGGTAAAGCATGTATCAATGTATATAAATTCACAGGCATTGGTAAACTGAACTAAATGGGTTGGGGTTATCAGGTTGAAAACAAAAAGATAATAGCTTTTTTTCTGGGGAAATCAGATTGAAATAGGCGTGCAATATTTGTAATATGTAAATGATCAAGCATGATTAGTTGACAAAACATTTTCCTAGCAATGATTGTGCCGACCATCCCAGCATCAAGCAAGCCAGTAAAAAGGACTTCCTCGGCTGGATTTGTCATTCAATATCGGAGACGCTGCTCAAACCAGGGTCAAAAATAAAGAACCTACAAGTGAGTGTCGCACCAGAGAGGAAGCAATAGTTGCAACGCTTTCTTCTACAAAGTAAAACATATTTTGTCCTGGATTAAGTTGCTGTTTAAAACACTTGTTTCACACTTGTGAATTGGAATTTAAATAAAACAGAAACACAACAAATCTACTTAGGTTAGGTTTAAAACAATTATGATTGTTTGGCAATGTTTGTCTAGTTATGGTCGTAAAATGTTGACTCTGTTTTCACACAGGACACAGCAATCCCATGATCGAGAGTCCTGTGTTTGTGGAATTTATTAAACTGACTTGACAATGTTGTACAGCAGTGATTCTCAAACTTTTTTCAATAATGTAGCCCCTTTGAAAAAAAAATTCAGCCAAGTACCCCCTGATCAGCACAAAAACTATTTGTTAGGGAAGAAATGCCTATATAAAGAGGTACAGTGCTGCACCATCGGTGTCGGATTTATTAAAACAACAACCTTGTAACTGAGAAACACTTAAATGCTACATTTCAAATGTTTACAATCCATCACTAAATTCATGGCAAACCAATTTTAACATCATGCAATAACATTAAGACGACATTAGTTGCATAGAACTGATCTTTTTAATAAGTTGTACTTACAATTTAGTGAGAAACATGGGCTTGTGCTTCACTGAGGATCTTTGTTATTCTCAGTGACAGGAAGGCCACTGCAGTTATTACACTTCACGTTTTGAAATATGTGTAACTCTGTTAATATAAAACCCACACTGCTCAAACTTTCTTACTTTTCCTAAAATTTGTATTTGTATTTTTTTCATTAGCATAAAAATAAATCTCACGTACCCCCTGCAGTACTCCAACGTACCCCTAGGGGTCCGCGTACCCCCATTTGAGAACCACTGTGTACAGTATGGGGTTTCCATTAGTTCCTTATTATCTTCTTTCAGTCTTGCATAAATTCATACACCTGCAATACCTGTGCAAAGGTGTCTGCTCCAGTACTGCACAAGATGTGCAACTTACATTATCTCGAGTAAAGATCTCATGCTCTATGGCAGGGGTGCCCAACCAGTCGATCGCGATCGACCGGTCGATCGCGGGGAGATTCCCAGTCGATCGCGAGATGTGTCTAAAAATAGAACAACAACATTCTGTTGTATGTTGTCCTGAAACATAATCTTCCTGTCCAGAATAATGCACTTGAATGCATCAAAGCTTTGTGATTGGCCGGCGTGACCCCATGTGTCGGGGCGTGGCTGGTGGGCATTGGGCAGTATTTCGCTGACGTTGTCCGTGTCAACAGGAGTGACAGTCCGCACACACACAAGACCGCAATTATGGCAGAAGCAAAAAAGCCCAACATAGGCCTATATAATTTTCACTCCGAGTGGGAGGATGATTATTTTTGTATCTATTCCAATTCAAAGTCCATCTGTCTCATCTGCAATGCGAGCGTGGCTTTATCGAAGAAGGGTAATTTAGGAGCGGCATTTCAAAACAGTGCACAAACGCTACGAGACGGAATTCCCTCCTAATTCTGCCCTACGCTCCAAAAGGAGAGGGGCCTGAAAGGACAGCTAAATGCACAGCAGTCCATTTTCACCAGGCCCAACAACAAGAGCAAGGCTGCTACCATAGCACCTTATCGTGTCAGTCACGTTCTTGCGAAACACATGAAGTCTTTCAAAGACGGCGAAGTTGTGAAAGAAGCATTCCTGGAGGCTGCCGACACGCTTTTGGGGGACAGTAAAAAATAACAGTAGCATTTCAACAGGTTTTTGATATAATAAAAACTCAAGTTAGATACCGTTATTAATCAGCTGTAAGTTTTAGTTTGTTTGAACTTATTCATTATAATTATTGTACACAATGGTATAAGAATGCAAACATTCAGATCTGTTCTGTTTAAATTGATTATAGTCTATTATCAATTCAGGTTAAGAAACTAGTGTTGCTTGCATCCTATTTTAAAGGTATTTCTTTTTATACTCTACTAAAATGCAACAAAAAAAGGGTTTGATTCTATTAATTTTGTCTTTTTTTATTGCACTTTGGCAGCAGATTCCTGTGTAGCTTCAGATCTGAGTTGTCTTATTAGTAAGCCTAATTTATACTTTTGTAGCAACACTAATTTTATATAATGGCAAAGAAAGGGTTCAGAGTCTTTTCTTTTTTTCCTGTGTCATATGTGGCAGCACTGTTCAATGTTTCTTGAAAACATTACCCACTGTAGTATGTGACATGTGAATGAACTCCAACTCTGTATCAACAACAATTGTGTAACTTCAGTTAAATACTTGTATGTGTGTAGATTAGAAAGAGGTAAGATAAAGGATCTGCAGTATTTTATGAAGTATTCATCGTACAAAGGTCAGTTTTATACAAGTAGAAGTGTATATTTACCTGGTATTAGGCTGTCAGTAATGGCTATGCCTCTCTATTTGGACTGGTAGATCTCGGCAGACTGGCAACTTTAAAAGTAGCTCTCGGTTCAAAAAAGGTTGGGCACCCCTGCTCTATGGTTTCATGGGAAGATAGTTCTTGGCACTTTAATTACTTTGCATGAGTCACGTGAAGCGTTTGTTTTACCATCAACAGCCACCCCTATGCTGGTGGGAATTTCAGGTAACAAAGACAGCAGGGCATCATTGAAAGGAATGCTGTACTGCACACATTGTGGATACACCTCCTGCTATTCTGGTAAACTGTTATTGCCTGCTGACTTCCTTGTTTGCTCTGTATACTGCCTGTTGTCACTGTAGACTCACTGGGTGGAAAGCAGAAACAAAGTAAAGAAGATAGTCTCATGACAAGAGGTGGAGGTGGGGTTGGACAGAAATAAGAGACGGAAACCATGTCTTTGTCCAAGCCAGAGGAGCAGCTAGCCTACGAGCTAAGCTGCCCCATCTGCCTTCAGCTCTTCTCCGATCCCTTGGTTCTCCCCTGTGGACACAACTACTGCCAATCCTGTATCGGAAAGAGCATCGTCATCAAGGACCAAACACCTCCACGGTGTCCAGAGTGCCGCGAGGAGTACCAAGGGTTTGAATCCCTGCAGAGGAACTTCAAACTCTGCAGCATCATCGAGGGTTACCGAGCCACCGCTCCACAGCTGGACTGGCAGCCTGATACTGTCGGGGGGGAGGTTTTCTGCGACCACTGCATAGACGAGCGGTTGGCAGCCGTGAAGACGTGCCTGCAGTGCGAGGTGTCGCTGTGTTCCAGACACCTTCAGAGGCACAACGAGAAGGAGGCGTTCAGGGCCCACGCCATGGTGGAGCCCCTGAAGGAGCTGGGGATGAAGGCCTGTGCCACTCACCGGCGTCCCTTTGAGTATTTTTGCTCCAACGACATGACCTTGATGTGCAGCACGTGCTTCATAGAGGGACACCACTACGACCACGATGTTCTCACCTTCAGCGCTGCAGAGCAGGAGATGAGGGCGGCGCTGGAGAGCCGCAGCAAGGTAGTGCTTTCATTTATGTTTACTAAAGGAGAGATATTTGTTCCTTTTTTTATCGTAGCATCAGTCTTGCAAACACTGAGAAAACTGGGACTTTGGGACAGAGTAAAACACAGGGTAAAGTCAAATACATTTACCCTAAATGTGTTCTTTTACGATCACATTTTTGATCTAGAAAGTACTTAGGCCTATTGTATGTAAATTGTAGAAACAATGGGTTGGTAATCCAGCGATTCTTTTTGGTAATAAAGTGAAGATCAACTGAACGTGGGAACATGTGAAGTTTGTCACACACATTTGACAAACATGAACAAAAACGTTTCTGATAATAAATGAATATTGAATTGACTGTGCTTATATCAAACTGTTCTTTTTTAAATAAATTCCTGTTTTTCCTTTAATAGACACTTCACGTTTGGCCTCATGCATGAAATGTTTTCTGTTCCTTGCCTTGCCTTGCCTTGAACAATAAATTGCTACCAAACGGAGAACAATAGAGATTGCACAATGAAACGAGACATCGGAGGTTTGAATAAAGTGGCTAGCGGCCATCTGGCTCACTCCCATGGCGCATTACAGTAGAATGATAAGAATGCAAAAGTTGTCCGGCTGACGAGAAACACCCAATGACTTCTGACAGGGTTGACTTGAGTTTTCCGTTCCAGATGACTTAATAATTAATAAGATCACGTCCAGGAAGAAGTGCAAAATCATCTCACCGAAATGTCACGTACACATGACTAGACATCTCTTTTTTCTTGCAATATGGAAAATACAAAGTGCTAAACAAGCAACATGTGTGCAGGTGGTTTCCTTCAGGCTGAAGATCACAGAGAGTGTCCTACAAAAGACAGCAGAGGAGCAAGGAGCGTCTGAAGCCATCGGAGACAAACTGGTGAACAAGGCGGTCGCCATCATGGACAGTATGGCTGCACTGGTGGACAGGTAACATACTGTAGTATTAAGTATAAGGAAAAACAGCCTTACATTTGTTCTTAATTGCTCCAAAGTCTTTAAATATTGACAAAGTGTCTTACAACTTCAACATTTTTAGATCACATGAAGGATCATACTTTTATTAAAAGTCAATGTCAGGATTTTTACAAGTGCGGGAAAAAAGTATTCTATATTAAACATTTTCTACATTGCATATGTGTGCATTTAACTAGTTTATTGATAATAATAATTAATAATAATTCCTTACATTTATTATAGCGCTTTATCAATGACTCAAAGCGCTTTACATATACACACATTACACATATATGATACATGCAATGGTCAGATACTGTGGACAATACCCACAGGAGCAAGTTCAGGTGAAGTGTCTTGCCCAAGGACACACCGGCTTTACAGACGCAGCAGCGGCGGGTTTCACCCCTTGATCTGATGATCATTGCACAGCGCACTGCGCCACACCGTCCATCTTCACACCTCGAAGACATCGAGGCGCTTTTACAGGTACACATTGGTATTATACATGTACTGTGGACAATACCCACAGGAGCAAATCCGGGTGAAGTGTCTTGCCCAAGGACACAACGGCTTGACACAGTGGCGGCAGGAGCGGGTTTCGAACTGGAGTTCCCCAGCACTCCCCCTTGATCTGATGATCGGATGCACAGACCACTGCGCCACCTGCCCAATACTTGATTGTATTTAGTTTCCGAGATAAAGCCTTGTTTTCATCATTCTATATTCTTTGGTCAAATGGGACTACTTTTTCTAAAAATATAATATTTGTTTAAAAATATATATTTTTCCTTCCCCTCACACCACAAACATGGAAGCCCACTGCCATCGCAATATGCAGGCAGTGGACAACCTGCGCTCGACCCCCCAATTACTCCGCCCCCGCCCGACGTTTGTAAAATAGCCGGACCCCCCAGGGGTCTCGGGGGTGTCCCCGGGGTTCTGGAAAAAACAAAGCCCCCCAGCGCCCCCCCCCCCCCCCCCCATTTTAGGGGCCAATTAACGCGTTATGCCCCGTACGGAATCAGAGCAGACTGGGCTCTGGTTTCAGACAGAGAGGGTGAAAAGAGTTGCTGCAGCACAGGCAGTAGGCTATGAGAACAATAAAGGGCTTTTTGAACATTAAAGCATGGAAACATGTCACAGTAGAGGCACAACATACAATAGGAACCTTAAAACCTTAAAAGGCCCTTTCAAATTAATATGAATTGAAACATATTTTCAAACACTGAAGCAGAAAAGTACAATAAAATAGTAAAACCACGCCTGCACTGTTACTAACAGGTTATATGATTAATGTGATAAGTCAGTCTGAGTACAATTGACAGAAGCAAATGTTCTTTCAGTCCTGAACAGTCACTTAATGCGATGGATCCAGTTTGTCAGCATTTTGAGACTGCCTGGAAACGTTGTCAAGTGTCATATGCTCTTTAAGATCACCTTTCAGCTTTCACTGTGAGACTGATTCCATTGAGTCAGTAATTTAAAGTTTCAACGATTAGAGAAAACCTAGAAACATTAAAACGTGCTGTCCTTGCACATAAACATACTGTTAAAAAAGGCTCTTCAAAGCTGAAGTAATACACACAATGCCATAATATGAGTAGTATATAGTCTGGTGGGAATGATGATGTTCCCAGTTTACCATGATTTTGATGAACTGCCGCTGTGTTGTGTTCAGGTACAGGGAGCGCCTGCATGTGCTGCTGGAGGAGGAGAGGAGCCTGCGCAGACAGAGCTGGCAGTATGGACTCAATGCACTGGAGGAGCAGCAGCAGCAGTTAGTGGAGGTCCAGAGAAACGCTGAAGAGGTCCTCAGTGAGACAGACCCATGCGTCTTCATACACAGGTACACAAGAATATATTGCTAAAAAAAAAAAATGGAGAAAAAAAAGAAGTAATATATGAGTCCAAAATCATGTGAAATAAGTAGTTCCTAATAATATAGGAAAACATGTTTTCACTGATGAATTGACAGCATTTATATGTGTCTATTTACAAAGGTTCATACATGTGCCATTAAACTTGATTTCATTAACAATATAAGCTTTTCCTGAGAGAAAATTGAGAAAGAAAGTCTGATCTCAACATTACTCTTGTGTACTTAGAAAATAGGATAGTGATGCATTTCAGCCTCTAGTGGCCAGAATTAGTATTACAGTAACAAACACTTAAAAACTGTATCATAACAAAATAATATTTAATAGATTATCCATACAAAATGCACCACTTCTTAAGTCATAGGCACAGGAAAGAAAGAAAAGTCAATTGGATTTATAAATCAACATAATTTGTTTTCTTCCTCACTTGCCTCTCAGGGCTTCCAAATTGAGATTAGATAATGTTACATTTAAAAGTGTGCCGGATAACTACGTGAGCTCAGGGCCGGCCCTTGGCATAGGCAGTATAGGCGAATGCTAAGGGAACATCAATCAATGGGGGGCGCCGAAAATTGAAAGAAAAAAAAAAAGTTAGAATTTTTTTTTTTTTAAATGTATTTCATAACAACACAATTTCCCGATTTTGTATCAACAAAGTACATCTTATTATCTTATACTAACAGCACTACGCCTATATTGCGTACAGCGCCCATAAACTATGGTGCACCCCCCCCCAAATCAAGTTGAACCGCCCCAGCCCCAGTAAAAACCAGAGGTTAATGCGAAATAGTTCTTTTTTTTAAATAATGGTTTTAGTGTGCAATTATAGGTTTTAATTTTGTATTTGTGTTCATTTAAAATAAATCAAACTCCCAAAAAACGTATACAGCTTTTATTAACATTGAAATTTACTGTGTAAGCGGCCGCGGGGGGGGGGGGGGGGAGGGAGGGAGGGAGGGAGGAGAGCTCTCTCCTGAAAGACTGAGAGGCTCTGATAACTTCAGCTCAGTGAGGTAAAGGCACACCTTTATATGATCATTATAGTTAAAAAATAAGAGAATAGATTTTCATCTATTCTCTTATAGTATAAAATACTATATGACAGGAAAAAAAGTTGTTATTAATAAACAATAATACAGTTTAAAAGGGGAGTGATTTGTAAAATATCTATAAATTAAAAAAAATCTGCTTACAGTTCTGTTTCATATGGGTGTTGAGAGATGTATCCATAGATCTCTTAATGTTGCTCTCAAAGTGCACCAGATTGATGCTTTTAACTTCAATATTAAAAACAAATCTTCCCGGGGGAAGAGGAGGTTAGGTCCACCCCCACTTAAATCATGTTCAAATGGATAGGAAACTAAATACATTTGTACACATCTTGTGTCCATATCTTTCTGTTTTGGTGGTCATGCCACAACCGTGCATGCATGCGCGGGTCATAGTGAGTGTCTGCATTTTGGGGGGGGGGGGGGCGCCAGCAAAAATCTTGCCTAGGGCAGCCAATTGGTTAGGGCCGGCCCTGCGTGAGCTAGTAGCTATTACTACTTTGTATGAGTCTAGCAGATAAGTCCTCACATGTGTCTGCCTACATGAGTAAAGACATGTGATGCCAGAACCAAAGCATGTGAATAAAATGTAAAAATCCTCAACTGAGAGAACTCTTCTGCTCTCCAGATTCATGCAGATTGAGAATAAGCTGAAAGAGGTCTCCACAGGCAACTTTCCCTCCGTGGTCCCCTTGAAGGCTCCGCTGAACACCAAGCGTCTGCAGGCAGGCCTCAAAACCCAAGACTTCCGCTCCGAAATGATCCCCCTCCTGAACTCCCTCCATATCCTCCTGAACCCCCTGGACCTCACCTTCAACCTCTGCACCGCCCACCAGAACCTGATAGTGTCCAATGATCTGCGCACGGTCAAGTACAGCCCCAGCAAGCAGTCGTACGCAGAGCACCCAGAGCGTTTTACAAGCGCACCCCAGATTCTGTGCAGCCAGGGGTTCTCCAGTGGGGAGCACATATGGGTGGTGGAAGTGGGGCCCGGCAGCATGTGGTCCATGGGCGTGTGTTACAAGAGCATCCTTCGCCGTGGTGACCACAGCCGCCTGGGACACAACTCTGTTTCCTGGCGGCTTCAGTGGAAAAACAACAAGCTGACGGTGTGCCAGTCCTCCTGCAACGTGGCTCTGGGGGAAATTACCAATCACCCGCTCAGGATTGAGATAGCACTGGACTATGAGGCTGGGACTTTAATATTCCATAACACCAAAGGGCACAGGGAGCACCTGCACACCTTCAGGGTTGTGTTCAAGGAGCCCGTTTACCCAGCGTTCAGTATCCATTCAAACACACAAGAGTCCTGGATCACACTGCACAGTGGGATGTAAACATAACTTCTGTTGTTTGCTTTTTTACATGCTTAGAATTGATTTGGGTGTTAACATCAGCATTGTTTTGTATTTGTACTGCTCCCTGTCAAATGTCTAATAAAATACATGTTTAACAAATGCCATATTTGTAAGGAATCAATCCTAAATAGTGCATTTATGTGTCAAAAGTAAGAAAAAAATTACCTCAGTCAGACATTAGCTTGTTGTTGTGCAGGCCTTTTTGTTAAATCCCTACATTTGTCTTCCATAAATACAAAACAATGCTTTATAATGCCATGCTTTTATACAAAACCACTGTCCTACAGTACTGTAACATTCAATCATAAGAAAGTTGTTTACAAAACATGTTTTGTTAATGATAAGGGTGATTTTTGTCGAGTACATTAATGTTTTTCATACATGAATTTGCTTTGTGGGATTTTATTTGTTTTGTTTTTTGTCATTTTCTTAAATTTCAATTTGTAGTGTGTCTATGAAGTTACCTTCATTTCTTTTGAATTGTGTGTTATCTGTCTGTGATCTTTATTTCCTGTAAACATTGATGTGCGTGGACACCAACCTTTAGGATGAATATGAGACACATATTTGTGTTTATGCAACAAATAAACTCTTGTGATAATGTCTGTGCATCAACATCTATATGTATGTAGGCCTATGTCTGTATGGTATAGTATGCAATATGATTGGCTCTTGACAGTTCGATTAAATTCAAACAGCTTTATTAGCATGGCCATATTGACATACAGTATTGTCAATGATCTGTACAGTTGCAACATCCATGCACAAATACACATTTGAAACGTACTGCTTAATTCATAAATATAACCTGAAGTGCATTCATTCAAGAGTTTTAGTCACTGAAATAAAGTTTAGTGTAATGCATCTGGGTTGCCAGGTTGGGCTGTTAAACGGTAATTTAGAGTATTTTAACCGTTTAAACTTTAATTTAACAAACCTATCATAATGATTTGTATTAATAACATACCCTTTTCCAGTCGCTGGCTCAGTTTTATTATTAAAAAAAAAGAAAAAATGATGCTCCGTGTTTCATGCGTCTTTGAAAGGGGGATGGTGTAAATTGAACCTGGCAACCTGCATTTAATCTGTCACACATTTTGTCATTGGGCAGGACAACATCAATTCATGTTAGTAACAATATTCTACGCAAGGTCACCTAACAGCAGAAGGTATGGGCTCAGGAGAGAGTACGACCCGGAAAGTGTCTTTCGGTGTCGATGATGAGGACCGAGTCAGGATTCTTCGTGGTGTCAAGGTAACGCGAATCAAGCTAACGTTTGATAAACCATGCTAACATTACTTTAATCTGACGGCTAGCGCTAACTAGCCGTTAGCTGTTGTTGCACAGCAAATTAAGTTATTTGTTCATTCTGAGTTTAATATACGTTAGGTATACAACCATTAAAGCGACTGCTGATATGAGGAGGATGTATAGGGATGGAGGGGCTGGGGCAGGTTGATGTATGACCTTAAACAACCCTTTTTTCCTTACACCAAACGTATATCGTACTATGCCTCAGTTTACGTTGTATCCTGTTTATCGGCAACATAAGACACTCTGGCATATTACCAGGACCATCTAGGAACCTTCAGGCTCTTTTTGTCAATTCGGCATATACATTACCCATCCAGAAGCAGTTCATTAGTATACATTTTACATTTGTATAATTCCCAAGCAGCTGTCAGCGTTTGCTACCAGCGCTAAATACGTTTAGGTAGAAACTAAGCGAACAAATCGTTAATGCTTGCCTATATTCCGTCGAATTTTTTAAATATAATTACACAATAGAGACATTGCTAAATCAAAAAGAGATTAAAAATAGTGTTGTAGTAGCTTATTGTTCATAACGTAGGTTATGTTTTAAATTGGGATATTTCGAATGAGGTTTGGCGTGCTGCTCTGCCACTGACACTGCTGCCTTCCAGTGCAACTGAAAATGTCGGAATCTTAGCTTACTCTATTATTAGACCATTTCCCCCCTTACATCCTCCCCTTCTCACAGGTAAGATTATTTTATGTTATTTTAGGGGTTTCCCAGAGTTATTTTCAAAATTCTATATTTTTTCTTACCAAAACGATTATAGTTTTTTCCAGTTGAACTTTTGTTTTACTGAAAACGACGTGCAACTTTTGGGCTTCTTTCAAAAATAAAGATATTAAGCCACAGGCATGCAAACTCAAGAAGGGCACACATACCTGTAGCGCAGTGTTTCTCAAACTTTTTCATACCAAGGACCACTTAACCAATACAAAAATACTCGCGGACCACCTAACTCCACAAATATCCAAAAACACATTGTTTTTTATAAATCGCCTGAAAATGGTACAAACAAGTGGCAACATGTGTGATGAAGGTGTTGTGCTGGGCTATATCATGCAATCGAAAGTGAAACTTAAGCTCACTCCATTGCGGAGATATTCCCGCGAGAGTGCGGAAAACTTTAATTAATTAATTAATTTCAAATGTGAAATGTTACCAATATACTCACGGACCACTAGGGGGCGCTCACGGACCACCAGTGGTCCGTGGACCACACTTTGAGAAGCACTGCAGTGTAGCGTGACCGAAGCCATAGCAATTTCTTGCTTTCTAAAAGGTCTATTGGAATTTGTAGGTGTAGTGTCCTAATTTCCTATAAGTTTGAAGGCACCGTCTCATTCACTGTAGCTATACTGAAATGCAACCTAGTCGAGTTCTACAGCTACTGTAATATAAAAGAAACACCTATGAAACTCAATAAAGTTAGAGCTTTATAGTTGTGTTAGTAACATAAATCATAATAATAGTTAAAATATTTGTAAAACATGGAAAGAACGAGTTTTGCTGATAATCCTATTTTTACCAGTTTTGCATGCACATTCAAATCCAGTGAGTCATAGGTACAGTGAGTCAGTGCTGCCTACTGTGGTTTTTAAAGAAACAAACCATTTCCTTGGACGGACACACACATTCAAATGTAAAGTACAGCTGCAGCTTTTATGCTAATTTGCAGGTTTATATTTTATGCCAAAAGTGTTGCCAAAGTTACTCTACTTCCCAATGTTTGCACAAAGTTGGGCAATCCTGTGTTGTTGATTTTCTGTCTTTATTCATCTTTGATTTTTTTAAATGCATGGCTTCGATCTCTCCCTAGCTGTCAGAAGATGTTCTCCAGAGGATGAGAGGAGTAGCCAACATCGCTCCAGACCGCCCAACCTCACCAGCCTCACCAACCTCAAGCCCTCAGAAAGACACAGGTACTGTATCATGCACCTTGCAGCGTTTCATTAGAGATATAGACATTTAAAGTGACATGCTTACCAGGTGAATGTCACTGCACATGTGCACAGTTGATATCCTGAGAAAGCAATACAATACCTGTAGCCTTACCTCTCAATATTCATATACGAAATAGGTCATACTGTATAGGTTGGTTTACTAGTACACTAATCCAGTGGCGTAGCCAGGATTTATTGTATGGGTGGGCCTGGAGAAATGTAGGTGGGCCAGGGGGAGACTTATTAAGCGTGGGGTCTGAGCTGAAACTTCATTAATGATTTTAATGATTTTTTTAATGCACTAATTGAACATAAGCATAAACTAACAGTGAAAACAAAAACATAGGCACGGCGACCTCAGAATGTGTGTAAAACTGATATCCACATGACTAGGGATGGGTATCGTTAAGGTTTTAACGGTAGGCCTACTACTACTTTTATCGATACCGCTTATCGATTCGGTGCTTTAACGGATTTTTATCGTTTTTTTTGAGAAAAAAACAAGGTTAACTAAACAAATTGTGAACAAAACTAACATTGCTTTTTATTTCAATTTAAAAAAAACAACAATGTATTAAATAACCTGATGACAGAACTGTAAACAGAATAGCTGAAACTTTAACACAATAAATAACTCAGTTACCTCTAATCATTAGCCCATGTTTGTATCATTGAGTTAACTCTGTGTGTTGCTGCTAGCATACATAACACCTGACGTGGAAACGTTACTCGTGGATGGAGCTACAGAGCTACTAGAAAGACAGTCGAACCCGGTGCATTCCTCCGTCTGAATGTGGTGCACTTTTGATAAATGTTTAGACAAATTGCTCGTGCGCCCTTACATGCTAAACTCTTATTGCACTTTTGGTAACGAGCATCGAGACGGGTAAAGTTTAACCACACCTCGGAGCGCGTTCTCTCCGCCATCTCCTCCGTGTGTGTGTGTTGCTGCATGTAGCAGCTGCGTGTGTGTAAACTGTCCCGCCCCCTCGCACACAGAAACAGAGTTGGCGACACTAAAACTGCAATATAATGTTTGTGTAGCAATAATACATATGACAGATATTTTTTACATGTCTCTCTCCAGTACCAACCGATAAGGTCGGAGCTTAATGGTACCACGGTCTTTAATAATTCAGCCCTGGGGCCCGTTTAATACCGGGGCTCGGTACCCATCCCTACACATGACTGGCTCGGCGGCCACAGGTTGTTTATCCTTGACAGTCGCACAGTGGGCACACACTGAGAGAGTCTTTTCATATTCAGCAAATGTGTACACGCTTCACTGCAGACCTCAAGAAGAAATAAGACTTTAAGTCACTCACGGCAAAACTTACTTTACTTACTAATTTACTCACGTTAAAAAAATGCACTCCTTGTTCTATTGTCATGAAGTTGGAATCTAACTATATCCAGAATAAGTTTGATTGGATCCAGGCTAGAAACATGTTTATTTCTGCTGTAAAGTTGGGCATTTTAACATGGGGGTCTATGGGAATTGCTCCTTTCCGCATCCATCCCCTGTTGGCCACTAGAAGAACTGCAGTTTGTGGCACTTCCTTCTGAGCTTCCCGGCTCTGCGCTATAACGCGCTGATTGGATGTGGGTGGGCCCAGGCCCACCCACATGCACGCCACTGCACTAATCTGTTAACATTACCAGCTCCTTCAACTTTTCCTTACTGTTGATTCCTAACCTACATTTCTCCCGCTGTGGGATGAATATATTTGAACTTTATTTCTCGTAATGGAATAATGTTTTCTTTTTAATATTACAACTTTTTCTGTATCAAATATTTTCATTGTATATATATTACAACTTTATTCTCAAAATCTTGGAGAACACTTACGTGGCAATTTATTTAAATCTGCATAATATGTGAACTTGAGCAGGAATCTTGCTCAAACACATGAGCTATTAAAATATGAGGTTTATTATTAAAATCTATTTATTTATTTAATAGAATAGCCATTAGCTGATTCATACATTAATTATAGGTCTAGATGTGTGGTCACTTAGCTGGAATATCATACATATTTAAAAGCATTATAGGGTGCCTGAGAGCTTTACTGCATTATATCACATTTTTGTATATCTTCAATTGTGATCTTGTGCCTGCGTTTTGTGTTTCCCTTTTAATAAGACATTTCCACCATACAATTATGAAGAAAAGGCAGGAATGAGTAAATAAACGGACTGTTTAATGCTTACATTTTACCCCTGTTCTTTGTCCAGGTGCCTCTCGCAGCGCTAGCTCAAGCCCCCCTCCCCAGCAGAGCCCCAAGAAGCAGGCCCAGCCCGGCTCCCAGCCCGGCCCCCAGCCCGGCCCCCAGCCCAGCCCCCAGCCCGGCCCCCAGCCCGGCCCCCAGCCCAGCCCCCAGCCCAGCAGTAGCAAACCTGCCTCCTACGCTAAGGAAGAGCAGAAAAGGTAAACGGTTGACAAGCATTCATTATTTCTTTGTATTCATAGTGACTAATGCTGCATCTTTAATCGTCTATAGAAAATGTAAAGCTCGTCGGTTGGCCACTGGCTGCCTATCCTTGTGCCAACTTTAAAGGGCACGCATAAAAACAAAACAAAACCCTGGTATGTGTTAAGCCCCCAACAGTGCCTCTTTTCTGCTCTGAAATCATAAAAAGGACTCTAGCTGATAAACTACTTAAAGCTTCGTGTTTCACAACTATGCTGCATTATCAGACATCAGAGATATGAGTTGGCTCGTACTTTCTCAGCGTCAATATGCAGACTGTTATGAAAGCCTGTTATCAATGGCAACTAAAATTCACCTATGAAGCCACGAGTATTGTACAAAGAAAACATTCAATTTGTACCTTCCCCTCACTAAGCTGCTTATTCCATGTTCCCTTTGTGTGAGTGCTCATTGCTATATAAATGGATGCCTGTACATACGGCAAATGTAAAGTCGTGTCATTGTTCCCTCATTATAGCTAAGGAAATTAAAGATTAAGTTACATTTTAGTAAAATGGCTGTCAATATCTTAAAACTGGGATAACACAGATTGGTGTTTTTTTAAATTACATTTTATAAACAGTGAAAATCAGTTAGTGAATGTTCATTTTATTCAGACATTCCCCCTGTAAGTAGGAAGTAGGACAGGCAGTCTGTCAATAGGATCCATAATGTTTCATTGCAACACAAAGACTGAATCTCTTCGCAGGTGAAGCCTGACAAGGAACAATATCTCATGAAATCCCAATTAAGTGCATAACTAATTTACACTTCTGTTGCTTTTTCTTGTTTTGATACCTTTCCGGGTCGTACACTCAAATTGTTTTTAATAGTGTATTGTCAGGCTTGGTGAGTAATGGATTACATGTCACAGGATTATGTAATCAGGATACAAAAATAGGGTAACTATTCCCTTACGGTTACATAAGAAAACACGGAATCAGATGACTGTTACATTTAAAACAATTGGGGATTACTTGCAGGATTACAACGTTAGTAAAAGAGCATATAGTGTTTGTTGTAAAAGGATCAAATTTGATCACTTCTCTGTAAGCTGTACTGCTATAGGCTAATACTTTAAGGCCTACTGCCTGAATCTGCTTTATGGTTTTCATTTTCTTTGGTTCATTTGTTCTTTTTTAATTCAGTAGATGCGCCTACGTATATACTCCCGTACCAATTGTAATAGTCTGAAAAAGAAGGCCTTGAAGTACTTTTTCCGTCAACACGAGTCCTTTTGAAAAAAAAGCCCCTCAAAACAACTCTGTTTGAGTCCAGGAAGTGATCCTACCCATAAAAGAATTTGACATATAAAAATAAAGAACTAGACTTGAGCTCCGCCGCCGCCATGATAGTCTTGTTGTTAGTAAACAACACAAACACGCCCACAGCCCGTCTCCGCATGTGACACAAGAAGTATTTAAGTACATTTACTCAGGTACTGTACTTAAGTACAGTTCTCATCTCTGTTCGCCTGGCTGTTGACTATATAAAAAAACTAACGCAGTAACGGAGTAACGCACCCTGTAGTAACGGTAACTGAGTTACTGAATTAAAAAAGTAATGCGTTAGAGTACTAGTTACTGCCAAAAATACTTTGTAACGCGTTAGTCCCAACACTGCTTATAGTACAGTTTATATTCTCCATGTATTTGACTGGTCTGGTGAAAGTTGGTATATGCTGCCCCCTTGTGGAAATATGTTCCAAGTAATTTAGACAGTAAGGAAAGGATTTAGAAAGCAGTAAGCAATGAAAGTATGCAATTTATGGAAGCACAGTGTGTATTAATGTATAGGTGTGTGTGTGTGTGTGTATGTGTGTGTTTGTGTGTTTCAGGTATGAACGGCAGCAGGCTGCACTGAAGGCGGAACAGGCCAAAGTGGAGAAAAGAGAGAAAGATTCAGCAAGAGAGGAGATGACCAAAGCCTTGATGCAGAAACGCATGGAAGCTGAGCACGCCCAAAAACTGGTACACACACACACACACACACACACACACACACACACACACACACACACACACACACTCTCTGCCCCTTTAAAACCAACCGTTTTTTTTAGAGGACAACTTTAAGGGACTAGTTTCTGCATTCACTTTACAAACGGTGGTCCATTAGTACCTGAGGCTGTGGGAGTTAGTCTAAAGCGTGTTTACCGAAAACACACATACACACACATCAGTTGCACATTTAAAATGCAATGCATGACTTTGCTGACTACATGCAGTGCTGTTTCATGCTTTTGTTTTGGGTGTAGTACTGCGCAGTAAGATGGTCACCCGTCGAAATGTAAACTAAAAATGTATTGATGTCATGCAGCCCCAAGTGACATTAATACCGAGCAAGAACACAACATGCGCACACGTTTTCATAGAGCGGGTCAAAAGTCCCTGTCAAAGTCATTATTAATAACAGCCTTGTTGGAAATCAAAAGAGATTCGGCATTTGGGGGAGAGCTAAATCATTCATCATCAAATTATTTATTAATAAAAGAAAATCATGTATTTTTTATCTGTATTCCCTCGACAGAATACAAAAAGTGAAGTCAATACAATCAGTGAAAACATGCAACTTAGAGGTTTACAATACAGGAAATGCTGATGCATTTCTGATAAACAATAACCAGGAATGTGGAAAAAACAATAATTTTCTCGCTGTCACTTCCACAACTGACCTGTGGAGCTGTTGTAATCTTTGTTTCGTTAAAAAACAAAATCATTGCAGCACCTTCAAGTTGAACACTTTGTTTTACATGCGGTTTAGTGATAAAGATGGTTTTCTATGGTTTTATCACACGTTGGAGATAAATTAAGACTTCATTTTACATTTGTATTTTCCGTAGTGATGCTCCTTCTGCCTTCCCCTCCTTTCACCTCCTTCTATCTCCCCCTCTCTTAACCATTTTCCCTCTCCCTCTTTCCCTTGCTGTCCTTCTGTCTTCTCCCCCTCCCCCCACCCTCAATCTCCCTCTTTCCACCCCTGCCTATTACTCTCTCCTTCCTGCCCTGGAGACGGTATTATCAGTGCAGCGCAAGCGGTAAATTGCACCCTGAGAGTTTCTTGCAGCTGGAGATAGGAGCGTGGGGGGGGTTAGAGGTATAGACGTGGGGAGGGGAGAGCTTGTTCAACACACCTGACGGCGCCTGTTTCCTGTGACTCTCCCTCCCTCCCCCTCCTCTCCTACCTGCTTTTCCCACCTCCTCTTTGAGACACGCTGTAGTACCTGCCTTATCTCCCCCCCAACACACTCCCTCCGCTAATAGAAAGCCGCTGGAGGGACGGCGTGAACACAATGACCGGTCAAGCAGCACCGCCCCCCCATGCTGAGAGCTGTGTGTAATTACTGTTGCTAGTGCAATGAATACATCACAGACATACTCATGATTTGCTCATATTACATTTTTTTCCCTGATGTGGAATCCGAGGGCATAATCGTCCACTTGCTATTTGTCCTATTAAAACCCCACATTTTGAACTTTTTCAATTGTTCACAATGTGATTTAGATTGAAAGGCTTAACTGTAATATGCACAATATCTACACCACAATTGTTGGCAATGTACATCTTAAGTCCCAGGCTCTTTTACCAGTGCAGCATACAATATACTTTTTAAAAGAAACATTAAAAAGTGCACACACTGGTTCAAAGTGAACTATTATATGTAAAACAGAATAGGATCAGACACAAAGTGCAGTTATATACTGTACAGTGAAATAAAACACTGCTTATTGTAATAATATGTCAATATGTGGAATAAAAACAGATGTATGTGCTATAAGAAAAATTAATGATGAATGTTAAATGGTCTGGATTTATCAGATGTTTAAAACCACTCATCATTCATACAGAGCATTTTGCTCAAGTTAGCTAACATCACACACATTCTCCCATCAATCAATCAATCAATCAATCAATCAATCAATGTTTATTTATATAGCCCAATATCACAAATGTTACATTTGTCTCAGTGGACTTTACAGTTTGTACAAAATATCAGTATGACAATACAACACCCTCTGTCCTTAGACCCTCACATCGTACAAGGAAAAACTTCCGAAGAAAACCCACAGTTTAAAGGGGAACATGGGAGAAACCTCAGGGAGAGCAACAGAGGAGGGATCCCTCTCCCAGGACGGACAGACGTGCAATAGATGCCGTGTGTAAATTGAAAAGATAATACATTTGCAACATAGGTAGTCCAAATGTTTGGAAATGCATCTGTGTATAATAGGAAGATGAATCCACGAGGATATCCAGGGCTCGCGATCCAGGACAGAGGAGCGCAGGATCATCCATGACTCCGGATCCCGGCGTATATAGATACCAAAAAGAAAGACATTTGGGGAAGCTGGGTTAATCGGAACATGAGAGTACACAGGTATAGACAGAGAGAAGGAAGAAGTAAGATATCCCCCGACAAACTAAGCCTATATCAGCAAAACTAGGGGCTGAATCTAATCAGCCCTAACTATAAGCTTTATCAAAAAGGAAGGTCTTAAGCGCACTCTTAAAAACGGATAGGGTGTCTGCCGCCCGAACACAAACTGGAAGCTGATTCCACAAATGTGGAGCTTGATAAGAAAAGGCTCTGGCTCCCATTGTACTTTTAGAGACTCTAGGAACAACCAACAACCTTGCATTCTTGGAACGCAATGCCCTAGTAGGACAGTAGGGTATAATGAGTTCTTTAAGGTAAGATGGCGCCTGCCCATTAAGGGCTTTGTAGGCGAGAAGAAGAATTTTAAATTCTATCCTGTGTTCTATAGGGAGCCAGTGTAAGGCAGCCAGAACAGGAGTAATGTGGTCCCTTTTCCTAACTCTGGTTAGTACACGAGCTGCAGCATTTTGAATCAGCTGAAGCGACTTGACTGACTTCTTGGTACACCCTGATAATAAAGAGTTACAATAATCCAGCCTTGAAGTAACAAATGCATGGACTAGTTTCTCTGCATCGTTTTGAGGCAAGATATGCCTGATTTTTGCAATGTTACGTAGATGGAAGTAGGCGGTCCTTGAAATTGATTTTATGTGGGCGTTAAAGGATAAATCCTGATCAAATATAACACCAAGATTCCTTACAGTCTCACTGGAGGCCAAATTCATGCCATCCATAGTTAGTATATCCTTAGATAATTTGTTTCGTAGATTCTTCGGGCCAAGTACAATAACTTCAGTTTTGGTCGTGTTTAACATCAAAAAGTTTAAAGTCATCCACGTTTTTAAGTCCTTAAGGCAGTCTTGAATTTTATTTAGATGATTAATTTCATCAGGCTTGATTGATAAATATAGTTGAGTATCATCCGCATAACAATGAAAATGTACAGAATGATTCCTTATAATATTGCCTAACGGAAGCATATATAATGTGAACAAAATAGGTCCGAGCACTGAGCCCTGTGGCACTCCATGGCTAACTTTGGTTTGCGTGGAAGATTCATCATTGACACGTACAAACTGAGAGCGTTCAGATAGATAGGACCTAAACCAGTCTAAAGCAGTTCCCTGTATGCTAACTAAGTGCTCTAGTCTTTGCAATAGGATATCATGGTCGATAGTATCAAATGCAGCACTGAGATCGAGCAAAACAAGAATCGAGACACGTCCCTTGTCAGAGGCTATTAGAATGTCATTTGTGACTTTAACCAGAGCTGTCTCTGTGCTATGATGTGTTCTAAAGCCAGACTGAAAATCTTCAAATAAATCATTGTTTTTTAAGTAATCACACAACTGTTTTGCGACCGCTTTCTCAAGAATTTTTGAGAGGAACGGAAGATTGGAAATAGGTCTATAATTGGCTAAAACCTCTGGATCGAGGTTGTGCTTTTTAAGAAGCGGTTTTATCACTGCTACTTTGAATGATTGTGGAACATAGCCTGATAATAAAGACATATTCATAATATTTAATAAATAAGTGCTAATTAATGGAAAAACTTCCTTCAACAGCTTAGTTGGAATTGGGTCTAACATACACGTTGATGGTTTAGAAGAGAGAATCATTGAATTTAATTGAATCCCACCGTTGGTCATGCTATTGGGAGCAACTTGGGTTTAAGTATCTTACCCAAGGATACAGCGACATGTTGACTGCAAGGGACTTTGGGTTAAAACTGTCCCAGAGTCTGGTACTCTTGGTCCGGATTTAAACAGGGTTATAATCAGTGTATGAAAGCATTTTTTTCAAACCTTGGCAATACAGATATTCTTTTGTTATTGAAGGCCCTGTCCAAAAAAACATAATGCTGATTTATTATAATTATAATAATAATAATAATAAGAATGATATTTGACTTACATACCACAAAGACAGCATACTGTTGAGTCTTTTTTTAAACCAATTTCCCGCCTAAAATGATTCATAGCTATTTCTAAGACAATTCAATCTGAGTTTCAATATGACTTCATTTAGTTTGAAGTAATAGATCCATAAAACAAAGAAGGAAGGTGGTGTTGCATTTTGTACACCTGATTTATTATTGTTAATATATTGGAACGTCAGTTTAAATGTAAAATCAGACAGTGTATGAAATCACATCTCAGGGTGAAGTAATGGCAGAGTTTTGCAATAAAATCACAGCCAATCAGTAAACACTATTTTACAGAATCCTGTTACTTCTGTACTTCCGCTGACCTGAACCCCCCTCTCCAATGTATGGCATCATGTCCAATCTTTGCTCATTCAAATGAATGCAGAGGAAAAATAACTAGCAACTTTCAGGCCCTAACTATTTAAAAAAGAGATATTCAAGTATTCATATTGGGTTACATACGTCTCTTTCCCATTGTACATCGAAATGAAAGGGGCCCTATTCCACTTCTTTGGGTTTTCCCTTCGTGTATTGTGTTATATAGGTTTTAGTGCATGTAAATGGTCTGCAAAGGCTAAAATCCCAAAGCTCCCTCCAGTGGACGTTTATCTCCTAGACACTCCCCCCCCCCCCCCCTGCCTGAAATGCCTCGAATCGACTCAAAT